TACCGTTGTTTGTCTCTTCGTCAGAAATATCTTGAATACAGACAACTGAAAATAAATAAAACATATTAGACAGATATTTGTTACAGATACCGTTGTTTGTCTCTTCGTCAGAAATATCTTGAATACAGACAACTGAAGATCAATAGAACATAGAAGACAGCTATTTGTTACAGACACCGTTGTTTGTCTCTTCGTCAGGAATATCTTGAATACAGACAACTAAAAATAAATAGAACATATTAGACAGATATTTGTTACAGATACCGTTGTTTATCTCGTCGTCAGGAAGATCTTTAATACAGACAACTGAAGATCAATAGAACATAGAAGACAGCTATTTGTTACAGACACCGTTGTTTGTCTCTTCGTCAGAAATATATTGAATGCAGGCAACTGAAAATAAATAGAACATATTAGACAGTTATTTGTTACAGACACCGTTGTTTATCTCGTCGTCAGGAAGATCTTTAATACAGACAACTGAAAATAAATAAAACATAGAAGACAGATATTTGTTACAGACACCGTTGTTTATCTCGTCGTCAGGAAGATCTTTAATACAGACAACTGAAAATAAATAGAACATATTAGACAGATATTTGTTACAGACAACATTGTTTGTCTCGTCACGAATATCTTTAATACGGACAACTGAGGATCAATAGAACATATAAGAGAGCTATTTGTTACAGACAACGTTATTTGTCTCGTCACGAATATCTTTAATACAGACAACTGAGGATCAACATAACATAATAAAGGGAGTTATATTTAATGTAGATTCCCTTTATGTTACAGACATAATTTATAAAACTACGCGCTGTGTTACAAGTGTTACATGATGTCAGTCACTGTATATGGCAAGTGTCAGAATATACATCGGTCACAAGTATCTCATAACGTCGGTCAGTTTATATGGCAAGAGTCTCCCAGTACATCTATCTCACAAGTTTTATGTGATGTCTATCAGGGTATATGACAAGTGTTTGAATACAGATGTGTCGAAGGTGTTATACAGCTTTATATCTTGCATGTCAGAGTATATGACAAGTGTCTAAATACAGGTGTGTCGCAGGAGTTATATAGTTTTAAATAATGTCTATCAGGGTATATGACAAGTGTCTGAATACAGATGTGTCGAAGGTTTTGCATAATGTCTGTCAGTGTATGGGACAAGGGTCTGAATACAGGTGTTTCATGTTTTACATATTGTTTGTTAGGTTTTCTCATGACGTCTATCGTCTGTATTGCTTAAGAAGTTCTTTGTGAACTTTCAAATCTTTTTGTCAGTTATTTTTTCGTAAAATATTTTTGGCGTTTGCATCAGATATTTTTTGTTTGTTTCTATGTTTCATGATGCCAACAAGTCATCAAATTTTATTTACCTTTTTGTTTGTATATTTCATGACCCAACAATTCATTTAACTTTACTTACCTTTATTGTTTGTATGTTTCATGACGCCAACGATTCATCTAATTTTATTTATCTTTTTGTTTGTATGTATTCGCCCGTCTTTACACTGTTGGAGTAGTGTGTTTTATAGTCCAGGTACTTACACTTATCTGTGGATTGTGTTGCTTGTCTTTACACTGTTGGAGTAGTGTGTTTTATAGTCCAGGTACTTACACGTATCTGTGGATTGTGTTGCTTGTCTTTACACTGTTGGGGTAGTGTGTTTTATAGTTCAGGTACTTACACGTATCTGTGGATTGTGTTGCTTGTCTTTACACTGTTGGAGTAGTGTGTTCTATAGTCCAGGTATTTACACGTATCTATGTTTGTGTAGTTTGTCTTCACACTGCTGGAGTATTGTGTTCTATAGTCCAGGTATTTACACGTATCTATGGTTTGTGTAGTTTGTCTTCACACTGCTGGAGTAGTGTGTTCTATAGTCCAGGTATTTACACGTATATGTGGTTTGTGTTGCTTGTCTTCACATTGCTGGAGTAATGTGTTCTATAGTCCAGGTATTTACACGTATCTATGGTTTGTGTAGTTTGTCTTCACATTGCTGGAGTAGTGTGTTCTATGGTCCAGGTATTTACACGTAACTATGGTTTGTGTAGTTTGTCTTCACATTGCTGGAGTAATGTGTTCTATAGTCCAGGTATTTACACGTATCTATGGTTTGTGTAGTTTGTCTTCACACTGCTGGAGTAATGTGTTCTATAGTCCAGGTATTTACACGTATTTGAAGATTTCCTGTAAACTTCTATGGTATGAGTTAAGTACTTTTGTAACGATTAGAAATTGGATCTCATATATTTCTATTTTTATATTGAATTAGATCGCCTAGTTTTATGTATTCAGGTGATTCATGAATTCTTGACTCTCGTCTGTAGTTTATGGTCATGTTACCAATAAAAGATCAACATTCCTGAGACAGATTATGTTACCTAGCATGTTAATAATTGATAATTCAGCTTATTTTGTATATAGTTGTCTAAAAATATTATCCAAGTTATCACTTTTAAGTGAATCACAAATCGTTCATAAACCAATTGACTTCAAATAAGACATTTATGCAGAGACCTTAGTGTAGAGATTTATAGGAAAAAATTAAAGTCAGCCAATTACAGCAGGGTATTGTGAATGGTTACGAATATATATCATATTTGTTTCATTAGTATATTACGGAACAACTTTCAAATTTATTTATTTTTGTTGGTTAGATTTATGTAAAAGAAAACAGAAGCTGACTATTATCATTCGTCGATTCTGATTTATCCCAGTGGTGGAATACCTACCCCGAGACCAAATCAAAAGTTCGCAGCTGCAACCGAACGCTATTTGAAAGTAGAAGCAGTTCGAAAGAAACTTCAGAATATTTACCTTTAACCAAATGCCCAGCGAGATTTATTAAATTTTTTAAAGGCCACAAAACAGGAATTGTGTCAAGAGCATTTTCTGTGGCCCAAGACAATGAATAGAATTCTTTTAGCAGATGGATGACGCTTCACCGTGCAGCCAGAAAACAGGCGTATGTTCATTTGTAAATAATACTAAACGATTCAATCCCATTTTTATAGAGGGTCGTGATGCATTTGACAAATGTCGCAGTGTAATGTGGTTAGAAATATGCAGTGTGGGGGGTACAGACATCAATGATTTGTGAAATAGTAACACTAATGCCACATACCACATCCTACGACCCGTTGTGCTTCAATATGATAATGAATTAGTCCTTACTTTAACCCTAAATTTCCTTCAGCAACATCAGCTCATCCTGTTCATATGATATTAAATAATATAAAGATGTAATATCACTTCTATCAACATCTACCAGTTATTTACATCACTAGATGCCTGATTTATATAAAAATGAACATATATAAGAGAAAAAATATTGAATGTTGGAAATAAAACAGATTATCAAATGTTCTGTTTCAGTCAAATAAAGAACTAATCAAAGTCATAAATAAAGCTGTCAGCAGGAATGAGAATCATTTTCTTCATTTAATATCCAGTTGAGGTCAATTACGAAGTAAAATGAACAAGATTACGACACATATGATATACAACATTGTTTATTGATAAAAAGGGGACATAGATAAACGTTTCGGAATTCTATCAGATTCCATCTTCGGTATCTAAAGCAAAATAAAATGAATTTACACAAGTCTTTGTACATTGCTAAAGTACAAATGCTAAATTTAACGATAAGTAAACAAATAAAACACAAAACAGTAATCATGAAGAGAAACTACAGCAAGAAAACACAACAACAACAACAAAAAAGTAAAATCAGTAATACCAACATATAAAAAGATGTATAATTTAAATGAAGACTGCATGTTGTTCAGTGTTGGGGAGTGCTGTTTGATGTGGAGGGTTTCTTTAATCAATAATTCCAGGTCAGTATTAGACTTACAGAGGATAGAGAAATTTGATAGTATAGGTTGATGTCCTGTTTCTTCACTAGTTGGCGTATAGGGGAAACACAGGGGTTACCTTTTTTTTTGCGTTTTGATGGAAATTCCCATATGTTCATAGGCTCTGACTTTTAAATGGCGTTTGGTTTTGTCAATACAGGAGGCCTTATAGTCTCCACACGTGTAAAGATAGACAAGCCAGGAACAATAAGAAATGGGGAGGAGATTTTTAGTAGGGAAAAAATTTTTTATGCGGGGTTTGAATTTAAAACTAACCTGAAATCCACTTGAGGGTAGTAACGACCAAATATGCGTTTAAGTTGATTTTTTAAATTTAAGCTTTGTATGCCAATATAGGGAAGACACGAGTATATAGTAAGTTTGGGTACAGTTGGTATCTTAATTGGATTTGTGAGTTTCTTTGTTAGGAAGGTGTTGGTAATGTTTTCTAATAAGTGTTGTGGGTAGCAGTTACGTTTCAGGATATCATGTAAGAACGAAATTTCAGAGTGTAGATTAAGATACGTGGAGCACAGGTTGTAAGCTCTGTTTAGCAAGCATGTAACAAGGTTTCGTTTATACGTAAACGGGATAAAGCTATCGTCGTTTTCCTTCGAACACCTCGATTGCTAATGTCCTGATTCGACGATATGGAAATGATACTCTGCGTGTATACCGTGCCTGTGAAAAATGGGACTTTAAAATTAAAAAAGTTAATCTCCATATTTTTGCAGTTTCCAAATATTTTTTTTATTTGAATTACTTATTTAGCGTTTTTGGAACTGCGAGAAAAATGGCAGAGGTGTGACATACAGTAAAGGATGACAGCAAATGAGAGTGATGAAATCCCGAAAGTTTATAACGATAAATGTGTGTGTGTAGGATCGTAAACTGTAATAAGGCAAACAGGATTTTAGGTTGTGTACATAGAACTATTGAGTACAAGTCGAATGAGGTCATCAGTTCACCCTGTAAAGTGCAAGTTAGACCATATTTGGAATATTGTGTTCAGTTGTGATCACCTTATTTAAGAAAGAATGATGAGTTTGTAGAAAAGAACTGTCAGATTGATTTTGGGTTCGGAGGGGTGATCGAAGGGGAATAGGCTGAAATGGAATCTCTTAACATATTTTTTGCTGTAGAGGAGAAGGACTTTAAGGAAGAACATGATTTAGGTTTTTAAGATTTTTAGAGGTTTTGAATCCACAAATCCAGGAGACATTTTCATTTAAAAAATGAAGAAAGTAAGATTAGAGGACACAAGTTTAAGATGTAGAAACCACTCCAGTTAATGCAGTGTTACTTTTCTAATAGAGTGATCAATTTCTGGGAATAGTTTGCCTTCAGAGGTGGTAGAAGCTGCATAATGGAGGACTTTAAGAATAAATTGAATGAATATATTTTAGATATTGGGTTGAATGTAGGAAAAAGGGGAGGGATTTCTATATGTAATTTGTAGTAGGATGGAAGTGGAAAATTGGATAGCTTAGATCAGCCAAATGACCTTTTGTTATCTCTTGGAAATGAAATAATAGTACATATTTCACTGGTTTTTAAAACAACAAAACCTAAAAACACTGAAAATATTGTGTATAATCTCCCTCTTCTTTTTTTGCTGAAAGCATATTAAGGTTATTATGTAAATATCTAATTTTGGGTCGCTTAAATCGTAAAGGTTCCCCAACACTTAGATGACGACCGTTACGTCCACTGGAAACAGTGGTATTGTTTCGACCGAAACTTTTTACAAAATAACTCCTTTTTTTTTTGTTAGTTTCACCGAGGATCTTATTCTGATGTGAAATACAAAATTAATAATTAAGCCAATATACAAAATTTCACAGCGTACAATGTGCTGCCAAAGTTAGGGTGATTTAAAAAGCATCAGCTATATTTCGTCTTTTAATACTTTATAATTTTAATTCTTGTTTACTTCATCGATATGTTATTGTTATGAATAAAACAAGACTTGTTCATCCAGACCTTTCCTCATTTCGTTATTATCAATGTTTTGTTTTTTTTTTGTTTACTTCATTATTAAACTTCTGCATGTCACGTACAATAAGTGCCTAGTGCTATTGTGGCTTATATTTCATGGCATATTATAATATTGTATCAAATGACTACATGTATGATGAAATATTGTTTGTGTCAAAAGTTAGGCTCCAGGCTCACTGCTGACCAATGAACGATTCGTACTGTTTCATGACCTTGCGAAAGTGTTAAATCGCCCTAGGATCTGCAGTATCTACAGAGCACAGCTTTTGTGTGCCTACGAAAATATAATCCCTTAACAACCTGCATTGCACTGTGACCACTAGACTTCAATAACACCTAGACACCAGTTGAGAGACACTGCTACCCCCCAAATCTTTGTAATAAATAAATAAATACAAGCTATCATTGGTTGTTTATGTGAATTAATTTATAAGTGTTTGTTTGTCAATAATTTTACATAATAAAATATCTTGTATATACATAGACCTCCACACAATACCCCCAGCTTATTTTTCAGGTTTCTTGATGGCAGACATGGTGTCCATACAATAAAGTCACAATACTTTCTTCCAGTAATATTTAGTTCTCCTTACACTTGGTAGTAGTAATCATGGTTATTCTTCATATAAGACAGCCATTCTCTAGAGTGAAGTAGAAACCTTTGATCTTTACAGGTGCTTCCTCAGGAGTCAAGTGCTGTTCAGTTTTGGGACACTTGATTTCTAAAATCCTGTCTTGTCTGACAAGTCTGTTAGGAATAGTTCCAAGAAATCCGTATTCCAAGTCTACAAATAACCTACGCTTTTCTACAGAAACATTATTTTTCGTTTTTCATAGCTGATGTATTGATATCGGTACTGTAAAGAGGATTTTTCACTGTCAGTTAATGGTATCTCTTCTGTTTTCAAATGACAATTTTATGTTTACCAATGGTCTCTTTTTGCAGTTTATCCCGTTGTCATGTGGGTACTTGCAACTGTTTAAGTTTTCTTTTTTTAATTCAGCAATTAAATCTGGTTCTTTATCCGGCCAATTAGTATATTCCCCGTAATCCATATAATAAAATGAACTGAACATTCTAGAATTGTTTTTCATTTCTAAACCCCTTCGAGATGTTTTTCCTTCTGGGGCTAAAAGCCATCTCCTGCATTTTTCTCTACTTTTAGTGGCGCATTGGATATATATTTTTAAAACAATATTTGGGCTTTTGAACATGAAGAATTTCCAGACTACATGATGCCAATTCGGTCCTAGTTGGTAATACAAACCAGCTCCTTGGAATCTATTTCTTTACGAGTTTCTCCTTGAACGATGAAACTGTTTGCCACGAACAAACTTCTCTATTCAATTCATATGCGTTTCAACAACGTTGCTTGTTTCGTTCTCAATACGTTGAGGTGATTTCTGAACAAGAAGATCAACGGTATTTGTTAGTTTAACCAAAAGAACTCAGGACATGGATGAAATAATGTTACTGTCATAATCCATGTTCTCTTTCTTACAGTATTGGTCCCTGCATTTACTGTGTGAGCCAATCACATGATAAGGACCATTTCCGAGATCTTATTGTAAACGTCTGTAACATGAATCCGGTAGAGAAAAATGATATGTTATTGTTCTTCTTGCAGCAGCAGATAGTCGCTTTATTCTAAAAGCTGAAGGGACACGGACACCTTCAGCATTCTCTTTGGCAATATCGTGCAAAAATAGGTGTAGCAACACACAGCATGATTGGCACATTCTAATTACTGAACTTTAGAATCATACTTTACCTTTTCAATAATTCTTTTATGCTCATTAGAATCGCAATCTCCAATTAATCTAAGAAATCGAACCCCGTGCATTTCTTCACTTTGTTTAAATCACTCCACTATTATATCTGCTTCCATTGACGTTGATGACTCATCCCAGTTTTATTGCATAAGTGATCGTTCTTTATATTCTTTTTATCATTACCTGCACAGATACAGCAGTATTTGTTACTGATAAGCATTATTTAATCCCCTTTCCAATAATAACAGCCACGCCATATTTTGCACTGTATCGATGTTCGTAGCTTCTCTGATTCCACCCATTATCAAAAATGACTGCAATGGAATGTGTACCATCAGTTTCAAATTATTTATTTCTTATTGCTAATTCTCGTTCTTCTCTACCTGCTGCAAGCATTTTTTGATAAAGAGTATTGCTCCAGCTATCTCTTTTTTTTTTTTCATTCTTTAAAAATGTTTTCTGCCTCATCGCAGAAATTTCCATCATAGAAAATGTCTCGTCCATTTGTGAATGTCCAGAACCAATACTAACAAAACCCTATGTTGCTGCTTCATTTTATCTCTTGATGTTCTAGGTTTTGTTGTGTGACTAATAACTGTAAGTTTCCTTTTACAAATTTCACATCGTAAAATAAAGAAGCTAAGTAATCCTTTTCTTTTTCGTTTTCTGGTCTGGGAACATTTGGACAAATTCGCTGGTGATTAGCAAATAGGTGGTATAATTCGTTCCAGACGTGACCTTTGTCTGTGATACGATTTCCAGACCAACAAGAAATCACTGCCGCTTTATCAAAAACTGCTGTCTCCACTTCTGTCTGCACTGAATCATTCTGTAGGTGACAAGGCTTGTCTTTATTTACAAGGAAAAGACTTGGATGTTTCCTGTTAAAATATAAAACAATCATTACAAAAATATTAACTTTATTTTTAAACACAATAAAATAGACAATGACTAAAAGTACAAATCATCTGGTTTTTGTTTTTCCTCCTTGAAAGTTTTCAACATTATGGGACTGCTTCCGTTTAGAAAATGGTCTGACTTTCATAGTATTCGACATATTGCCCACTCTGTTTGTGTGCAACAGTGACCTCAGGCATCAGTTAGTTAGAGACATCTTCTAAAAAGTCGAAACTGGAATTTTTTTTTCTTCGCGCGATACTTTCATCTTCTTATCACATATTAAACAGGTAGATTAATCTGATAAAACATAAACTTGTAACATTTTCATGTCGACTTTTTGTTATCGAGTAATATTGTTTAAACAATTTTCAGAGTATTGTTTGAATTGAAACCACCCTTTGAATAAGACCGAAACATCCGTTTTGGTATACTCCAAGGTTATTAAACCATTCTTTGAATAAAGCTGAACAAACGGTTTTGGTTTCGATATACTCCATAGTTATTGAGACACACGTCCCCTGGTAGGATAGTGATAAGTTTACAAATGTACAGTGCTAAAATCCGGGGTTCAATTCCCCGCGATTGACACCACAGATAGCCCAATGAATTTTTGCTCTAAAACAAAGTGAGGCCGAACCAACGTTTTTCGTTTCGGTGTTATCCAGGATTAGTCAGCAGCATGCTACATGTCTCACCATAAGTTGAATCTTTGATGAAATTGTTATTTTGTATTGCTGCAAAGTACAGCATGGATAGAAATAATGAAATAAAATTACATTCAATTGAGGAGAAATTATCGGGAAGATTACTTTTCCTCATGTAAAGTTGCATTTCCTCATGAATTGTTTTTTGTTGTTTTTTAATCCGTGCAATATGTTCACTTTCGTTGGTTAAAACTAAAGGAATAGGATGGACCATGCATTCCCGATCGGGAAAGCCAACTAAAAATATGAAATTTCTCCAGAAAAGTTAAATTCATAGGGAATGTAGTATTTCGATCCCTTTGTAGCTTGCAATGCACCATAATTTAATCGTGCCATTGGTTGAAATTTAGGTAATGCAGTGAAACTTCTACATTCTTGCACGTTAAGTCACTTGTATGTTTAATCTTTCTGTTATTGAGCCCGAAGTCATCGTGTAAACTCCATTTTAGATTAGTCAGTCTTGTCTTTAAGTAAATATCACTTTTTCTGTTATTGAGGGACATTGAACTACTTGGAAATTATAAAAACTTGTCAAAATTAGTTAGGTTGTGGGAGTGAGCATAAACAAGTATACTCTATTTGATTGCAAGCCTCTGAAAGCAGTTAAATATAAGTATTAAATGTGTTTAAAATTAGCTATTCCTTGTAAAACTTATTAAGATTTTACATGTTAGTTTTAAACACTCAAAACGTGTGGTATCTTTTCTAGGACTTCTTTTCATGCACATTTTATATGAATTATTTAGAGAAATTGCAAAACTAAGTCATTATTTCCCATAATTATGATAACCCGCATTAAAAATAAAGGCCTAAAATTTTCTAAATCTTCCTACTTATAATTATTAAACATGGTGCTTCAAAAATTTATGAATGAAGTATACAGAGATTTTAAAATCAACAAATATATCTTACGCATGCAGTGGAAAGAGAACTTGCCTATCATGTTGTTTTTTGTAACCTTAGCTGAGAATGATGGTATCATTTCTTTTAGACGGATCTTACTTCCAGTGAAAGATATTTCGAATTAACAAATTATTAACTGTGATTTGCTAAAACTTGCAAATTCTTTATCTTGTTGGCACTAAGAGATGTGTCCAATAAATGTTTAGAACGACGTTGGTAGTTTGTTTTTTCAAAAGTTATTAATAATTCTTCCTGTCCTAAATAATAAAAATAGTTACAGAACGGTCGGTTTGGTAAATAGTAAAATAAAAATTGAAATTCTTAACTTTACATTATGAACTTTTCATGCTAACTACAGAATACAGTTTTATAATCATGATTACATATGAATTCCTTATTAATGATGATAAGTCACTTTGATGATACCATGTTAACATAACCTTGTTCTAGTCGTGATGGAGAAGTCACTGTAGTGATACCCTATTAACATTACCTTGTTTTAGCGCTAATCGAGAAATCAATGTGGTGATACCATGTTAGCTATGACTAAACTGACAACATATCCCTGTTTTAGTTGCTCAAGAAGGGTAATAAATATAATAACGCCTCTAAAGTAAAACTTTACTTGTTGGACACACAAAGGCACCTCATTTAGCAGAAAGTGAAATTAGGCTTTCTAAGTTTGTTGCGAAATATTTTCATTCAAGTACAGAAATGTAACTTTTTGAAATGCTTTTCCGTTCCTTAATGTTGCTTTTATAAATTTAATAAAAAAGTCGGTGGTTGTTTTCTCTGGTAATCATATATTCTTTGTTCCGTAACAATAATAAAAGTTATGAAAATTACCTTGGTATCTGGAAAAACAATTTAATGCAACAGTAAAAACACTTCAGGACATTTAAAGTATAATTATGAAATGAAAAACATAGAAACCTTGAGATGGGCTGTTAACAACAGCTATTTTGAAATGCCTTGTGACATACACTCATCCTTTTTACTGGAAGAATCCTCAATTCATCAGAAGCGCCTTCACTCAATATTTCCTGTTATACTGGGACACTTGCCAAATTTTAGTTTCTTACAATATACTTATGAAAGTCACATTAATACGGAAGAATAACAAGACTGTGTATATTCGTAAAAAAGTGCCACAGAATGCTTACACATACGTGTTTCTGAATATAACGGCTAGCTAATAGACCAGAGATATTACGTAAGTCGCAATGCACAAGTTAATATAAGGATGTGTCAGTTTATTTATTAAGTAATACCAATATAGGGCGGTTCACAATTATTCAAAAGACCTTGTGACCGTTAGTGTAACCCCTATAGAGATCTCAAGGGCAAAGTGCAGTTCTATTAATTTAAGTGCTGTAGAAATAAAAGACAAATTTATTAAGTCATGTAACTAACATCCTTGTTATCATCAGTATAGTAAAACTGTTTGTTATCACCTGTCATCAAGCTTTATATGTTTAGTTACTTATTATTTTATGTTATATAGAATAGTAATATTAATATTATTTAATACTGATGTAGTTTTAAGAATGTTTCTAGTAAATTATTTTGATGATTACATAATAAAAGTATTAACATAACATACGGCCAGCAAATAGCCATTTGGTTGGTCATTCAAGGCTATCCTGCCCACCCGTCCTTGAGAAAATTAAAAAATCAAACCTATCCTTCAATTGTTTTACAGAAAATCAGTGATTCAACTGTTATAAATTGCTGGCCTTCACCACACCAGACTACTAATTCCATAAGTCCGTCACGCTGTTAAAAAACCGGAGCCTAGCTTGCCTTTTCCAGATGTTAAAATTGATGAGTCCTCTCTTCCTGTTATATTCATAATATAGGGGAAAAGATATCAGAATCCTTTATCCTATCGAGGTCCCGGATAATCTTGTTAACTTGAATAAAATTATCTTTTACCCTTCTTTTCTCAATAGAAAATAAGTTAAAAGGTCTTAATCTATCTTTATAGAAATAACTCTTTTCATCCTTGGAATTATCCTAGTAACCTTTTCTCTGTTAGCTTTATTGCTAGCAATCGAGTTTTGAGTGACATATCTATCATTTGCGAAGATTCGTTTTTTTCAGTTACGCTACTAGTGAGTTCATATTTACATTAAACGTGAGATTCAAATTATTATGACAACATAAGTGCACTTCCTTACACTTATTATAATTAAAGGCTTTTTGCCAGATATCCAACTTACCATGTCGTTCTCTAATGCCTCAATATCCTCAGAACAGCTAGAAATTCCCAATAGTTTAATTTACTAATTATGCCCCTATCCATATCATTAACGCAAATAAAGAGCAAAGGCTCAAGCACTAGCCCCTGAGGTACTCCATTAATAACAACTTTTATCTCTCCCATTCAACCTGCCGACAATCCAATTAGTAGTATTTCCCCAACCCCTACCGATGTGAATTTCTTAGATAACCTTCCGTGTGACATATTATCAAAGGCTTTTTGAAAGGAAAAAGCTTAACTACACTAATTACATACTTTTCCATCATACAGATACTCTAGAAAAAAATATAATATATTTGTAAGGAAATGTGTCCTGTTGCAGAATTCATATTGGCTTTTTTTTTTCATATCAGATTGTACTAACTGCTTTTGTAAAGCTTCTATTACTAGAATTCTTCCTACTATAAAAGTGAGTCTAACTGGACTGTAATTTGCAGGACAACTATTATCTCCCCCTTAAAAATAGGAATATTATAGGCAGCTCACCAGTTCTCAGGCACTGCCCACTCTATTGATCTACTAAAAATGAGAGAGAGCGGCTCGTATATTTGATGTTTGACTTCTTTTATAACCCTAGAGAAAACTTGTCTAAACCTGTTGCTTTACCTATTTCGAATTTCTACTTACCACCAAGGGATTAACATCTAAATGAAGCTTACAAACATTTATTCAATCAAAACATTTGTTATTTGATAAGGGTTAAAATATACAGTAGAGTACGTAAACCCAGTTCAGTGGCCGTCGAAATCCTAAGGTGAGATTCAGCGAAGTTCTCAAACTGATTCTTGAAAGGCATGTGTGTGCGTGACTTTACGTGTAGTATAATTTATACACGTATTTAAGTATTAGTACTTTCAATCTGAACAGCACCTTGTATGTACATAGGTTAAACAGCCAGGCTAGAGACCACTTAGATTCAGGCATAACCTTAACTAATATTGAACTACTAACCACAGGGAAGGAAGCCAGTGAGCAGCAACCGCCGCAATAAGGGATTTTACTTTGAACCAAATAACGGGATCGACTCTTTTTTCTCACTCCTATTGTTGTACACAAAAGTGATCCTTCCGGAAGTATGAAATAATCCGTCTTGTGGGTGAATATTTTGGTCGTTTTTTTTTTTTTATGTCTACCATAATTATGTAAGCCACTATAGTTATTGTTGTAAGCTTTGGTAAGCGGGAAATTTGACATTATGTAATGAGCGCATGGCTTAACGTTTGGAATTTTCACTAAAGTTTTAGAACAGTTTGAGCAGTATAAAATGCGGGTTAGATCAGAGTAAATGGGTGATTTGATTATTGTGTTAGCTAGTTCGTTAGTCATTTTTTCTGTTACTATTAGACAGTTCAGTTTTATGAATACTGAGTTTGTGTTTCAATGAAGAAATAGAGGAATGAGAAAGTACTGCGGCTAGAGAAATGAGCAATTAAGTGAAATTGCTGTATTAGCACATACTGTGAACCTAGGACTGTCATTAAACATTGGTTAAGCTAAGTTGTAGAACTTGTAGTCGAAGAAATAAATATTTTCGTTATCAGTATGTAAATCGGACTTTGCAAATATTCTTTTTTAACAAGTAAGCCAAAATAGAACACCCAACAATAAAAACTATTACAAGTTTATGATTTATTGACATATGTATGTCTAATAAAGCAGGTAATGCTTGCGCACAATATAATAAATAATATAACAGAAAGGAAACAAAGGTCTCGTAGATTAATTTACTCTAATGTTGCCTAAAAGAATTTCAAGGATTCCCTTTTGTTTCTGTATAGCATTACTTGTTTATTTAGGATGATTATTTTAGTAAAATACAACTCACCAACTCCTCGCCTGTCCGAATAATCTTCCTAGGTTTTTAATGTATTATAAAATCAGAATCATTAGTCTCTTTGATTGAACACAGGGTCACTTGTTCAAGTTTGGTTTTTTGTGGGTCCCGTACAATTTCCAACTTTTCATTTCCAACTAATAATTGTCTAGGACTTTATTGCTGTTTTTTACTTTGTCTAATTTGAACATTATGCCAAAACAATCGGTATAAAACAGCGAGTAGGAAATATCCGCCAATTACAGTTGAAACCAAACTTGTTTCATGTTATACGAATAATACCAAAGTTTTTGTTTTTAATAGTACCTCTATAATATTTCCAGTCTAAGCCAAATGTAATTACACATAACACAGTGTCATTCTATGATCATTAACCTAGAACTATAGCCTCAGTATAACATTCAAGTTATATAACTTTCAAGTCACAAACGTGGAAAGTCATCTGAAATTTTTATGCGTTACTTACGTCCTAGATAATCAGTTCCCAATTCATTTTTGTCAAAATTTACTCGAACTTTAGGAAGAGTGGGGAAAACCCTTATATATGTATTTGATTTTCTATTACAGGTTGACGCTGTTATTTATTCAGGGACATAAATTAACATCTAGTTATATTTTTGAGCCTGGCATGGTCTGGTAGTTAGAATGCACCACTTGCAATCTGCGGGTCGCTGGATTGGATGAAACCTGACGCCGAATATGCCCACCATTTCAGCTGTATGGGCATTGTGATGTTACGTTCAATCCCACTATTCGTTGGTAAATAGTGGTTCAAGATTTGACGGCGGGTTATTGTTGACTAACTTCCCTCCTTGTAATTTATCACTCTAAAATAATGGATGGCTAGCGTAAATAGTTATCGAGTAGCTTTGCTCAAAATTCAACAGCAACAATTACACATTGTTAAGCTGCATTATTTCTGAGTAGAAATATAAAATCTAACCTAGGATTTAGACTTATTACTGACAGTTGTTAAATAAGGTATTGTACATATTATTTTATGTTATACGTTTCAGACGAAAAAATGATTTTTTTCTTTTTTGCAAATATTGTTTCTATCGTTGGGTGAGTTATTTTTAATTATTTGGTAGATATCATTCAAAATCCAGTCTACTTAATGAAAATAACCGGTTTTATTTCTTTTATCATAAGTTTACCGAGCGATAGGTCTAACTCACAAATAAAATCAAAGAGTTGTATCTACGGCACAAACTCAAAACTGACTGGCTAATCAGTGGCGCAGAAACCAGAAGAACAATCGCTCTACCAAAAATTTGTGTAGAGGGAGTAAAAAACAGCGAAATTTACATTAAGAAATTGTAAATTTTATTTGTCAAAGTTTTCAAAAACTTCGATATTGTATAGTGTCATTAATTACTCTATAACAATAACCACGTGTAATTGATGATATCTTACAAATTTCGGGTAGTTGAAAGTGTCTCCTCGTGGCAAAATGGAGTTCTCTTCCATTGTTGTTCTCTGGAAAATTCAAGACATTGCGTGCATGTCACGTAAATTTCTACTCGTCAAACTATACAAAACGTCTCAATTAAAATATTAAAAAATACTTAACAACAGTGTAATTTTTTGTGTTACATCACCATTCACCGTGTGGTTAAAGCTGAATTGCATATCCTACAATTTTTTTCTGTCATCATCTTATGTTTTTAAGGTAAATGTAGCTGTGCTTTCTTCAATTATGTATGAAGTGCGACTCTTCAGGGTCTTTAACTTCGCAGAGAAGTTTCTACTTTACTCACCATAGCTGTTAAATCGACTATAACTTCGAACTGAACTTGTTAATTATTCATACTGAAGAAGGATATATATATATATATATATACATATGTAAGATTAGAGTATCGCATGAAAAGTAAAAACAACAACAAATATTTAGCAAGTGTAGGTTTCAAATTCAACAGTAAGCCTTTATAGAATGAACTATTTGCTATATCACCTGTTCTTTTCCTTCTCCTTTCAAGAAATGATAAAATTGTTCGTTATCATGTATTAATCATGCGGAGTACAGATAAGAATCGAGTTACGATATATATATATATATATATAAACACACACAATATCATTGTACTTAGCAGTAAAGCG